CAGGGCACTCAAACTCAATACATCAGGATCCTCCATGAGCTGTATTACGGATTCACCATCAGGATCTCACCATTCTACAAGGAAGTGATCATCAACATCAAGAGAGGGGTTCGCAGGGTGATACCATTTCACCGAAACTCTTCAGTGCCACCCTCAAGAACATCATGCGACGACTGGAATGGGAAGGAATGGGAGTGAAGATAGATGGTCGACAACTACACCACCTCCACTTTGCTGATCACATTGTTCTAATAACACCAAACATTAGCCAAGCAGCACAAATGCTGGCCGACTTTGACCATGAGTGTGGAAAGGTCAGACTGCAGCTGAATCTCACGAAGACAATGTTCATGAGAAACGGTCTCGTTCCTGACATTCCATTTGCTCTCAATGGAAGGAACCTCTCCGAATGCAGCAGTTATGTGTACGCAAGTCAAGAACTCAACATGATGAATGACTTGGCATCTGAATTGCACAGAAGGAAGAGAGCGGCATGAAACACCTTCAAGAGCATCAAAGAAATAGCTAAGAGGACGAAGAACCTCCCGCTCTGGGCACATCTCTTCTACTCCACCGTTCTTCCTGCATTAACATACGCCTCAGAGACCTGGGTCCTATGCAAACAAGATGAGAATGCTATTCAGGTCTCCCAAAGAGGAATCAAAAGAGCTATGCTTGGAGCATCATGCTTCACTCAAGTGAGAGAAGGAATCCGGCGTTCCGAACACTGTCAATGATCGGGAATCAGGGACACTGTGTCATATGCCAAGGCATCGAAAATCAGATGGGCTGAACATATAATGCGATTTGGAGACTAGAGTTGACTGGATTCCACGGGACGTCAAAAGAATGCCTGGCCACCCATCTACGAGATGGTCAGACTTCTTCGTCAAGACCCTGAACAAACGGTTTGAGGCTCTTTGTGTTCTTGGAGCGAGCAGACTTCATTGGGTTATACTAGCATGCGACAGGGACAAATAGAGACATTACTGGCACCCACTCGAGCAAATCGAGTAACAGGATGTCAAGTGATCAAGTGATCAATAGTAAAAGATACACAATAAGGCAGTAACAAAGGTCCAAAGGAAAATAATGGGAGACTACTATACACAATTGAGTTTGGAGGATGAGAGGAATGAGTCCTGGGTTCCTTGGAGAAAGAGATGGATACAATGGAGGCAGCAGTAGTGTTGGAATTATGTTCCTGAGAAACCACTATCAATAGTGTTGTAAAATAAAAATTAAGAAAATAAAAGTTAAAGGCATTAAAAACAAAAAAAAACGAAAAACCAGAAATTATAAGACAAACTGGAGGGAAAAAGTTCCCCTCCAAACATGAAGTTAAAGAAACTATATTATCCCTACATTAGAATGTGGTCATGATTTACAGTTTAAGAAAAAAGAATTTTTCTTCCTGCGGTTGATTACACACCATCAGGTTGCATTGCCTTTCTTTGGGTTTAATTCACCACTGACTTCTGCACAAAATTAAAAACAATACTTACTTAAGCCTTAATATTCTTTTTTTTCTTTTTTTAGGTCACACCTAGCGATTCTCAGGGGTTCCTCCTAGTCCTGCACCCAGGAATCACTCCTGGTAGTGTTGGGGGACCATATGGGATGACGAGGATCAAACCCAGGTCAGCTGCATGCAACGCAAATGCCTGACCCACTGTACTATCGCTCCGGCCCTAAGTCTTAATATTCTAAGTACATTGGATGCCATCAGCCAGGTTAGTCCTTTCAGCATCACATGGTGAGCTAAGAGACATGTGCAAATCACGTGCTGGTTACCAAATCCAGGCATTCTGGTTCCAAAAGCCTAGTTCATAAAACAGGCCTTAATTCAGCTCAAAATTCGCGATTACTTTACAATAATTATACTAAACCTGTGGATCTCAAACAAGCAGACACAAGTACATGATGGGAAGATATAAACTGCATAAAATTAAAAAAATGTATAAATCTGAATTAATTAAAGACAATGGAGAGAAACATACAAACTGTTTCTTATCATTTAATATAGAAGTAGCTTTCTCTGTTACAAAACTTTCTATTGAAATACAAAGGTCACTATATATAATTATATGCAATTTAAAATAATACTTTGAAACCAGCAGGGAGAGTTGTCATGAACTTGGGCTAAATCAGATTTTATAAATAGGATGATGGCTCATTTAAGAGTTTGTCACAATTGTAACAAGTGTCTAATTTTAATATGAAGTGCTTAATCTCATATTCAATATTTAATACTATATAACTGCTTCATGTGTAAATTGACATAATTTACATGCTAACTCAAAAAAACCTAAAAATGGGAGCTGAAGCTGAGGGAGAGGGAAGAGGTGATAGTTCCAAAGGCTGGAGCCCCAGATTTGATCCCTGTCATCACCTGGTCCTCATCTCCCAAGCACTACCACATACAGCACTGCACTGTAGCACTGTCCTCCCATTGCTCATCGATTTGCTCGAGCAGGCACCAATAACGTCTCCATTGAGAGACTTGTTGTTACTGGTTTTGGCATATCAAATACGCCATGGAGAGCTTGACAGGCTCTGCCGTGCGGGTGGGATACTCTCGGTAGCTTGCTGGGCTCTTCAAGAGAGGCGGAGGAATCGAACCGAGGTCGGCCACGTGCGAGGTAAACGCCCTACCCACTATGCTATCGGTCTGTCCCACTACCACTTACAACATCCCCCAAAATAAATTTTACATTAATAATTTAAAAACAACAATGTGAAGGCGAGATAGATAGTTCAGTGGGCTAGAACACATGCAGTGGATGCAAGAAGTCTGAATTTGGTCCCCTGGCACTGGGCGATCATCCCTCCACCCACCCAAACATCCACAAACAGATGTCTCCCTAAAGCCTGGGAGAAATAATGAAACAAAAGAAATGACAGTATCAACAAAATACTCAGAATATTGGAAATAACATGCAAAAATGAAAACCAGAGAACATGAGAGCTGGAGGGAAGGGAAACCTTTGTTTTTTACCCTTTTAACTTGTATTGGAATTATCAATACTAGTTTACTATGAAAATAACTACACAATACTATTAAGAGCAGTAAAATCTAAAGAAGAGATGGCTTCTCCCTGCCAAGAATACAAAAACAGGGCTAGAGCAATAGCACAGCAGGTAGGGTGTTTGCTTTACACGCAGCCAACCCCGGTTCAATTCCCAGAATCACGTATGGTCCCCTGAGCACTGCCAGGAGTAATTCCTGAGTGCATGAGCCAGGAGTAACCCCTGCATCACTGGGTGTGACCCAAAAAGGAAAAAAAAATTACTTCAAAAAGATATACGCATTCATGTTTATTCCAGCACTAAGTACAATAGCCAGGACATAGAAACAGCCCAAATATCCAAGAAGAGATGCCGAGGGACATAGGGGCAATGGAATAATATGCAGCCATGAGAAAATAGGTACACTTACAGGGAGCTGCAACTCAGATGAAACTGGGGCACATTACATCAAACATATCAGAGGGTGGAAAACCATATCTAAACTACAAAAAAATAGTTTTCATTGAAAACAAAAAGAAATTTAAGAGAAAGATGATTTGCCTCTTAATCCCCGCCTGATACCATTAAGGACCTTAAGAACAATCAGGGTTGCAGGACCAGTCGCAAAGAGATACAAAGATAATGTCTTAACAGATTCCAGAACATGCACTGGAGTCTGCTTGGCTACACGCTTTCCAGGTTAGGACCGGGCAGTCTTTGCTGAGCTATCAGTAGAGCCACCGTTTAAACTAACAATGTCAGGGCTGGAGCAATAGCACAGCGTTAGGGCGTTTGCCTTGCACGCGGCTGACCAGGGTTTGATTCCCAGCATCCCATATGGTCCCCCTAGCACCTCCAGGAGTGATTCCTGAGTGCAATGCAGGACTAACCCCTGAGCATCACGGGTTGTGACTCAAAAAGAAAAAAAAAAACCAATAAACTAACAATGTCAATTCTTAGAATCTACCCTACCCTCCAAATGCTCAGAGATTTCTGTACTGATTTACATGCAGCGACTACTGTTCCTGGCAAAGAGAAAAGCAATCTCCACGTATAGTGCTAGATGTAGAACATTTTGTAGCCAGTTTTAAAATGAAACATCGCAATTTGCTACAGTGACATTAAACGGTCCCCACAATATAGTTAAGATTATTAAAAAAAAAACTACAGAATATACAGTCTGAGTTATCTAGCTACACACGCGCACAAGCAGTAGGTTTTAAGGGGAAGGGAAACACTGAAATTTTCCCTTGTACTTTTCTCTTTTTTTATTAACAACCAGCATGTACTATGTGCATTTTTTTACAACCCGCGGAGATCGGAGTCTACTCCTGGCTCTGCACTCAGAGATCATTCCTGGCAGGGCTCAAGGAACATAAAAGGTACCTGGGATTAAATCCAGATCGCCACATGCACGGGAAGCGCCCTACCCACTATATTATCTCCTGTCCATTATATTTTCAAGAATCAAAGCATGCCTCGGTCGTCCCATTTAGGTTGTTTTGGTTTTTTGTGTTTAAGAACTCCAAAAAGAAAAACATTTCCGGTTGACGCTCCAGCTCCACTCCCGAGAGAAGAAAAATAGTAACCAGCATGTTGCAATCTAGAATTAGCAGAGAGGCTGGCCTCCAACCGCTGGATCAGACTAGAGGAGGAGGAAGCAAGGGTAGGGCACGCCCCGACAGTCGGGGCGCAGAGCGGCTTTGGACCGCGGGGCACACGGGACCCCGGCGCTGGGTACCGGGAGCGCACGGAAGCGAGTGGCAACAGCTCCAGGATGCGCCTGGGATACGGCGCGAATCTGAGGGACCAGCCTAGAGCCCGGGCACGCCAGGCGACGACAGCGTTGTCAATCAAACCCCGGGCGACCTTCAAAGCCTGGGGAAACCCGAGAAGGACGCAGAGGGGGAAGTCACAGGCACGGCGCGGGCCGAGTTGGGGGATGTGAGCTCCTAACTCCGAGCTCCGGGGAACGGAAGCTTCAGTAGTACCTTCCCAGAAAAACTCTCCTCCGGGATCTTTCTTCAAGAACTTGAACCAGAACGTGCCCACGCGACCCGGCTCCGCCCCGTCGGGCACCGCCTCCTCGGGCTCCAGCTCCACCTCCCCGAGCCAGAGGCCGGGCTCTGGCAGCGCCAGTGCCCCCGCGCACGCCGTGACGCCTGCCGGCCTCAGGCGCACGGCTCCCTGCGGATCCCAGCTCCCCAGTTCGGGCCGCGACCCCACGACCAGCAGCTCCCGAGCCGAGCTGCCCAGCTCGGTTGGCACGACCACCCCAAAGCGGAACCGCATGACGCTGCGCCCGAGCCGCTCCGGGACTCCGAGTGCCCTCGAGGAGGGCCGGTAGGCGTGGCCTCGGAGCCCGGCGGCCGCGCGATTGGGCGAAGGCGCTGGCGGGTGTGGCCTTCGGGAGAAATGGCGATTGGGCGGCGGCTCCCGAAGTACCCACGAGGAGGGCTGGTGGGTGTGGCCTGAGAGCCAGGCGGCCGTGGCGATTGGACTGCGGCTCCAGCCACAGTGGGGCTGGAGGGCTAGTAGGTGTGGCCTCCCGGAGGGGCGGCCGCAGCGATTGGGCGGCAGCTCCCAGAGTACACAACGAAGAGGGGTCGGGTGGGCGTGGCCTCCAAGACGGCCGCGGCGATTGGTTGATGGGCCCATATCTTTGCAGCGGGGTTTCCTGGGGACACGTGTGAGGTGCACCTTTTTAGGGGCGGGGGAACAAATACACGTATATAGAAGGGTACTTTTTCTAGCACCGCGCAGCAACCGGAAAGGGAAAAAGAAAAAAAAAGGTGGAGAACCTCTGCTATTCGCTGTGATTTTCCAATTGTGTTTTCTAAAGACTGCAAGTTATTTTTGAGGGTCATATAGAAAGAGTGTATGGCATATAGAAAACAGCCTCGGTAATTGGGAAGTTGAGAAAAGATCCTGGACTGGAATTCTTCAGAGCTTGAACTTTAACTTGCTCTTCTGGGTCTTGGATTTCAAATATGCCAAGTGAGAGAAAAAAATATTATTAAAATCACCGCTAATTCCAGAAGTTCTTAGTTCGGAGGAAAAGGCGCTGTTCGGAGCCCCAGATGCTAAAACCAAAACATTTCCAACCACTAACCCAACTGGATGCCTGAAGTAGCACGTGACTGTTTACCCACAAATTATATTTACGTGCAAAATGAGTTTGGAGTATTTTCAAGTTCTTTACAAGGTTAAACAACATAGAAATACTGATTCTGCGAGTGTAAATGTAGAATGTTTATATTGACATACAAAATGAGCCTTTTTTAAACTTTGGTTTCAGTATTAATCTCTGTGTTTTCAATGTGGACATTTCTGTGCCAAGAAACACAGGTTTGCAGTTACTGGCTCGAAAGAAAACTACAGGTTCCATGGGGAGAGGGAAGCTTTCATTTTTATCCCCAAACTAAGAAAACCAGTCTGCCTGTTTATGTACTTGTTACATTTTTAAAAGTAAAGTAAGTAAAGGCCCTCCCGTTGATCATCGATTTGCTGGAGCGGGCCCAGTAATGTCTCCATTGGAGACTTTGTTGTTACTGTGTTTGGCATATCCAATACATCACCGGGAGCTTGCCAGGCTCTGCCACGCGGGCGAGAAACTCTCGGTAGCTTGCTGGGCTCTCTGAGAGGGGCGGAGGAATCGAACCTGGGTGGGCCATGTTGGCTATGTGCAGGGCAAACGCCCTACCGCTGTGCTATCGCTCCAGCCCAAGATAAAATGTCAACATCTTCAATTTTTTGTATTAGTTTTAATTCTTGTTACATTTGTGTATTAATCAGCATGCCACATGCTGATATCATTAATCTCATAAACTACTAATACACAAAACTTTACATTTGTAGGGTCTTGGAGATAGTACAACAGTTAGGGCGCAAGCATGGGATTCCACTACCACCTGGTTCCCCAAGTATTGCTAGGTGCAGCCCTCCACTTGTGGCCCTGAAGGCCTTAGCATCACAGGGATCCCCTCCCCCACCACCCTCAGACCAGAGCCAATAGGTGTACAGCGTCAGTTCTTCCATCCTTGCAGTTTGAACTAGAATCCCAGGTTGGGTCCTTTGGCCAACTGAACACTGCTATAGAGAACCCCACCCCTCATCCCCCATCCTAAAATAAACTAAAAATGAAATTTTTAACATTATTATCAGTATTTAAATATCTATGAATAGTAAAAAGCCCAGAATTGCGTATATTCAAGATAAACAAACCAGAAAGTACAAAAATATAAGCCCTGCAGTCTCTCTATGGAACAATTAGTAAACTCAATGTATTTTACTCATAAATATTGATATTCCACTCAGTATTTGGTTAGTTGCTAAGGTTGAAGATAAACACAAAGAAAAATGTGAAGACGGCTGGGCTGGCCAAACAAGGATGATTCAGTAGCAAAACAGACATTAAATCACAGTGGCATGTGAGTCCTTTTTTAAGTTACTGTTACAAAATATTCTGGCTGTTACAAAATAAGAGTCATTTGGCCGTACAAATACCCCCGGAGTTCACAGTTCAGGACTTTCTTGAGCTTTGCTACTTGTGTACTTTCCAAATGGCATCTTTCCAGCCAGCTCTTCCCAAGTGAGTACCCTCATTCTGCAAATAATAAAGTAGCCCCAGAAGTAAAATAGTATATTTAACAGATGCTATTTCCTTTCCTCCTCTCTCTTAGCATAAAGAAGCTGAGTGCTTTGAAGAATCCCAGATAAAAGCTCCCAAATAAAATATGTAGCAGGACCAGAGAGATACTGCAAAAGGTATGGCACTTGCCTTGCTTGCAGCCAGCCGTGGTTCAATCCCAGGCTCTGCATATGATCCTGAGATCACTGCCAGGAATGATCCCCAAACACAGAATCAAGAGTAAACCCTGAACACAGCCAGGTATGGCCCAAAAAACCAACCCATCCCCCAAAATGGAGCAGCCTATTTTATGATGTGGATTATATATATAGTACAAAGTGATGTCTACATTTATGCCCCTAGGTAAAATAAAATTGGAAAGGAGAGCTGGGTTCGAGAGATAATGCTGGGTGTAAGTCTGATCTTACATGCAGCAGACACAGGTTCAGTCCCAAGCTCTGGATCTGGTCCCTCAAGCATTGATCCCTGAGCATTTTCAAATACGGCCCCAAGGTCCTTTAAAGACAAAATATTTTAATAAATACATTCCACAAGTTTTTAAAAATTATTTTTTAAAGAAACAAGCAATGCCAAAATCTGAATTAAACAAACTCCTCAACCATAAATTATCACTTGAATTTTGGGAGGTGAGGTTACACCTAGTGGTGCTCAGGGCTTACTTATGGCTCTGCACTCAGGGAGCACTTCTGGAGGATCAAACGGGCTGGCAGAAGTCAAACCCAGGTTGGATGCATGCAACGCAAGCACCCTACCAGCTGTACTTTCACTCCACTCCAGTCCCTCACCTGAATTTATGCCCATGAAAATAGTTATTAAGCCCTTACATGTCAAGTAAATTCATTGTCATGTACTCGTGTGTGAGTTTCAAGGAAGTTTGGGCATGTGGGACAGGAGCATTTGGTGGCAGAGAGTCGCTTCCCCAGGCCGGTCAATGGCAACAGATGAATGAAGGGATGGGGAAACGGGACCCCAGGCTGCTTGGTAATCAGGGACTGTTTATTTCATTCCCATCCTCATCCTTACAGCTTTGTTCTCCTGCGTCTCTCTTATAGCATAGTTATTTCTTCCCCAGCATAGTTAGATCTCTCCCCATTTACAGTGTAGTAACTTCTCCAACATAGTTAGATCTCTTCCCCCATTATTACTTCCCACTGTCAATATTTCTTCCCTATTCACAGCCTTGTTATTTCTCCCTTGTTATTTCCCCAGCGTACTTCTTTCTTTCCCCTGACAGCATAGCAATTTCGCTTCCTTTCTCCTTCCTTATAGCATAGTGATATAGAAATCATGAAGGGTTAGTGTACACATAGATGCGGTTGAACATTGTCATAACAACAAACAGGTGTAAACACACTCCTTCAGGGGGAGTTCTAGGAGATTAACTCAAGGACAAAATCACATCTGAGGCTTCATCACTCTAGATTACTAGGAGATCTGGTCAAGGGCAGGATTCCATCTAGGGTGTATTGTTTTCTCCTTTCCTCAGCTGGTAATCCATTTAAACTGTAGCACTGTAGCACTGTCCTCCCACTGTTCATCGATCGATTTGCTCAAGCAGGGACCAGTAATGTCTCCATTGTGAGACTTGTTACTGTTTTTGGCATATCGAATACACCACGGGGAGCTTGCCAGGCTCTGCCGTGTGAGCGGGATACTCTTAGTAGCTTGTCAGGCTCTCCGAGAGGGAGACGGAGGAATCGAACCCAGGTCGGCCGCAAGCAAGGCAAATGCCCTACCCACTGTGCTATCACTCCAGTCTGGCACTTAAACAATCACAGTAAGTTTACTTCTTGCTAATATTTCTAATCATTTTGTATGAACACAGTAAGAGATATATTAAGCTTAAAGATTGGCTCTTCCAAATAAAGGGTGTTTGGAGGATCCTCCCAGGAGGGGAGATGCATGTCAAAAGTAGACTATGGACTGAACATGTTTGCCACTCAATGCCTCTTTTGCAGACCACAACACCCAAAACGAAAGAGAGAACACAGGGGATTGCCCTGCCACAGAGGCAGGGGGTGATGGGGGGATGGGGGTGGGGGGGATATTATCCATGGTGGTGGAAAATGGGCACTGGTGGAGGGATGGGTATCTGATCATTGTATAATCGAAACCCAAGCACAAAAAATAGTAAATCTACAACTGTACCTCATGGTGTTTCACTAATAAAAAAAAATTAAAAATTAAAAAAAAAAAAGATTGGCTCTTCCTGGGGACATCTCGCTATATTTATCCCAGACTTCAGTCCTCAGGCCAGGTTAGTCTTTCCTAATCCCAGCAAGGTCCTTATTCAGTTACTTCTTTTTGAGTCATGACAGTTTATTCCATGTCCATGGTCTTAATTTATTATACTTCTTATGGCACTTGGCTTGTCCCTTTCCCATGCCAGGGTAGCTTACAGCTTACCCTGGGTTCATCCTTGTCCCTCGCTGGGACCCTCCTTTAGGAGGTGTTAGGAAGTAAGGGCAACTGAGGCTTAAGTGAAGTAAATATGATCGATGCCCAGGAATATATATTATTTGGAGTCAATTAACTCCCATGTTACAAAAGCATAGCATTAACTGTCTTCCTGTGTCTATACAAAAAGGACATTGCTAAACCATGCAAAGGACATAAAGGAAAGAGAAAAACAATGTAGGATTATTAGTGCCTGAT